ATGCTGAAGCATAGCACTTACAACCTCGGCGAAATCTGTGGTGAAGTGACGTAAGAGCTATCCATAAGGTTTTTTAGGCGTATAATAAGATGCGTAATATATGCAAATTCCTATGTGCTTTGAGGTGCCCTGGAACTTCTACCATTTACAGGAGCAGTTTTCTACCTGGACCTTCTCAACGTCATAGTTTAGAGGGTTACCAAGAATAATTGATCGAGTGAGTTGCGAATAAGTGGAACCTTTGCAGACTATGATGAGGATCAAGTTTTTGGAATGTAAACCAACATCGGAGAAATCAGTATAACGACTGCTGGTCATTGAACTCTTGTCTTGTGATGTATGTGCTGACAATCTGATGCGGCATTATCCTAGAATTCAAACACCTAAGCTAGCCGACATCTTTGTGGTATTATATTAATAGAGCTTCTGAAAGCGGAGGGATTTCAGAAAAATGATTATTTTCCGTTATTGAGCCTCTTCTTATAATGTTGTTTATTTTAGCAAATATACTTAAAAGCTTAGTTGGTCCATATTTGCGAAATTCTATGGCAAATGTAGACTAAACCTATGGAAACTGTGCTTGGGAATTCCTGAGATTTCACCACAGGTAATCGCTAACCGATTTAAATCGCTTGACATTTATCACTTCAAGGAATTTTGTTTTACAACTGCGAATTCTGATGTAAGTCTGCTTTCAGTTGTGGTTTTATATTAAATGTTGAACTCCCAAAATGCATTTCCGTTACCGCTCTGTCTGACGGTCGATAGCTCATTAGTAGTCACTAAATTGATGATGGCAGTGACGCTGTCATAAATTTGGATTGAATTTGTTTTTTGCTTAAATACCTTGATGGATTGTCTTCACAGGTCGTTCAGACCGCAGAACTTCTTCCATTCGTACCACTTTCTTTAAACCACATTCCATGGATATGGTTGGGTTCGTATGTGGGTTTGACTTGAATTAGACTACGATTTGAAAAATTTTTAATCTTTTTTATCCAATGACGTGTTGAAGTCGAACAGGATTTCCTATGAAATCGCGAGATAGCTGTACTAAAACGTTCCCACATCTTTGCCGCAGGCGGTCGGAAACCTTTGGATTGGAAAGGGCTTTACTGGCCTGTAACTTGGATTCCTTTAGGACCGAAGGAATATTTACGATAATTCGACCAACTTGTAAAATGAAAGGGATTAGAGGCTTTTAAAAACCGTCAATCAATTTTTCCTGTTTTGTTGCAAAAATTCGTGAATCACCCGCGTCTGTAAATTTGTTTTTTTTCAAAACCGAAGCTAACTTAGGTTTTTGCTCATTGCAATAACCCTTGATGCACGCCATTGCGTTTCTTCCCGTACATTTAAAACTACTAGTAACGGGATGTTCGTCGTCTGTTATAGATCGTTTGAAGGAGGTCAATTTTATGCCGTTGAATAGTTATCAGAACAGTCCAATCCGAAGTAGCTCGTTAATAAACGATGCCGTTAACAAACGTGCTCAAAAGTATTATACGGTGTTGATTTCTTGTTTACTAACATATCGATCAATACATTTATTTTTCAGCTTTTCTTTTTGTAGTATTCGGTTCTCATTATCTCAACTCCATACTATGGTATGACAAATAACTTCCTCAATGTGACTCTGACGTAAAAATGAGAGCAGTTGTTCACTTGCTCTCACTTTGTGGAATGTCTCTACCACGAAAGAAGCAAGAAACAACACAAGCACTGGCAGATGCGTCATCCACAGCGACAAGAAGTCCGCAGATCTCTTCGATTGTGGCGCTCTCATTCCTGCTCTGGTGCTCTCATCGAGTGATTAACAGACCAAATCCCGCCTCCGAGAGATGTGATCGGAGGCGAATTCTTCTTAGATCTTCGTTGACACCTTCTGACGCGATGGTTATCTCAAATATTATGACACGACGCACTTTACTTGATTTTAAGGACGAGTTCTTGTACACTGGTGGAGGTAAGCTAACTATGTTACATTTTGGTAGATCTCTTTTTGTGATATCCACAGATTTTCTCTTCTTATCGTGTTCTGGCTATACTACGCAATGATTCTGTTGATTATCTTCGGTACATAGTTGTACAAATCTTCTCTTAAAATGTTGAACTGAATGAATATCAAGGTGAACTCAGTTAACAGTACCATATCATCTCGGTATTATTTTGGATTCTTAAATGTTTTCCGGCTGGCTGGAGAGGAACTAGTTGGTTAGTGAGTGATGTAGTCCACCGGGAAGCAAGGTTCTACGGCGACTTCCTCCACAACACTCTACCAATCCACGTGCGAACGCCTTAACTCGGCTGTCTCCAAAATTGCAGAGAGATTCGTCTAGAACAGAATTCTAAGACATTCATGAAGAAGACGGGATTCTTAAACAGGGACCAAAGCAACACGCGAAATATTCAGAGAGTTTTCCAGGCAATGAATGTGAGGAAAACGAATCAAATGAAAGAAGTGCAGGGATCTGCATAATAGTTCTGATGACGGTTCTTGTAAGAACAATAATAATAACATACAACCACAACTAGCTGAGAGAGGCGAAACGAAGGACCCGCAAGATGTGATGGTGAACGCGTTAGCTCCCGGAGAGGGTAATAGCGGGTTCGCTCCACGCCGTAGACAACTGCGATCCGGAGTTTTGCAAATATCTCAGCAACGTTGTGGTTGTATTTTGCTTAATACCCTGCGATAAAAATTGTAGGAGGCAGAAAATAAAAAGTAAAAATAATAACACGGTAATAATGTTACAATAAAAATACTACAACAATCGTAATAGTAATGGTAACAGTAGTAGTAGTAGTAGTAATAACAATTGATAACAGTAACAGTTAATATTAATAAGGTTAATAATAATAATAGTAGTTTAGTATTAGTTTCTCTCATGACTCCTAATACTTTTTAATGGGTCATCTCTTGTGTAAGTTTTCTTTATATTTGGCTTAAACTTGGTTATCAGTTATCAACAATTTATCTATGCATGGGTTGTTGCAAAGTATGTGAGAATACAAATTTGTGGTTCCAAAAACTTCTTTGTTCCTATTACGCGACCAACTAAACTTTTTTTGATTTAAGGTTTAAGAGCTTTTCGATATACCACCAGAAATCAGTATGCCTCTTCATCTCTTCATTGTCAAAAAACTTTTGAGACTAACATAGTACCATAATATCGTTGGCGTTTCACTTCTACATCGAAAAATATCAGGGTTTTCCGTTGCCTTACTTCCATGCATGAATTCATAGCTTTTTTTAAAATGACTCTATATCACATATTTTACGGATCTCAGTACTTCTTGCATTCAATTCATTTTCTCGCGCGTGTCCCTATTCCACGAATATTTTTATATTCTTGCGTGTGACTTTGACTGTTGCCTGACTTTATTTTCTTCGTGGATGTTGCTGAGTGCTAGTCGAGTCAATTCTTCCTGAAATCCTTGGATAACCGTGCTTACGCGCCGCTCATCGTCACGGGCAGGTGTCATCTACTGTGAATTGAGAAGATCCAGCCAATTTCAGACAAGTTTGATGGCAATTTTACTAACCCAGAGGTGTGGAAGGTTTGGTTGGCTGGGCCCGAAGCTAATCCATGGCGCTATGCGTGTTGGACAGTATCATCACCACTGGGCTGCATACGGCCCATTTACTGAGTTGAACTTCTCAAATTTACAATTTTACACTGTTATTACATATAAAAATTACATGTAAAGCTGAAGAAATAAACAACATAAACGCCCAGTATAGTAAAGGGAGCGGAATAATGTTTAGTTCACAGGTGAACCAGTGTCTTTTTGTTAACTGTTATAAATAATGCAATATCTCCTGAATACTCTCATAAAAGTTATCTGTTCGGACAGATGCTTTCAGGGTTTGGGTGCTATCTAGTTACTGTTGTTTCGAAATTAATAAAGACGCATCCTGAATACCTGTTTAGAACTAAAATTTGTTAGACCATTAAACAGCCTTCAAATTTTTTAATGCAAGCTCGCAACTGCCGCAACTTACAAATTTGAGATTAACGCCCTTATTAGACGAAATTGACTTGTTGAGCCAGATTAAGATGGTCTCGATAGAGGTTAAGTTCTGGAAGTTTCGACAAAGAAACAATACGGAAAAATGTGGGCTTCAAGAAATCACTTCCACTACGATTGAAACAAAAAGAATTTTGGTAAAAAATATGGTCATTCCAATGGTTCCAGCTTATACGCATACGTATGCATACGTAAGTAAAGTAATGGGATATGTATGGCACATTGGTTAGAGATGTCTTAGAATTTATATGTGGTTGTTGGTTCGATCGTACGCTCTGTGCTCACCAAGCCTTCTAATTAAGATTCCACCCTTTCGGGGTCAGCAATTTTCTAGCAGATCCGTCTGGGAGGATAGCAGCACTGGTTCAATACATCGGTAGGCCACCGTAAGTCATTGTAAAGAGTGGATATGCATTCAATCTCCTCTAACATTGCTTAATGAAGTTTAATGCATGACACATGCTTCAGGGTTGATCAGCGCCGAGAGCTTTATGCTTCGCCCTTTATATTACACATTATATCTGTAAATAATAAAATTCACTACAAAGCCGAACTATTTGCAGATAACTATTAGTCATGTATAACTCATCTGGGGTTCATGTATTCAAGAAGCCTAATTAATTAACGTAGTAAAAGTTGTACCTGTTGCTGTTTCTTAGCTTTCCATGGTGCCTAATTATTTGTTATTAAATAGGTTTCTTTTTTGTTATCCCTTCTTCTACTCATGACAGTTTGAAATATTTAAGATTTCTTTACTAGACCAACGGGATATATTCAAAAGAACTAAGACTTGGACCATATATTACTTTATTTTTACAATTATTTTTTAGAATCAATGATGTAGTAGTCCTTTTTGGTTCGTAGTTCTAAAGGTAGTTTTCGAGTGTATTTGCTAACAAACAAGTTAATCGGCGGAAAAGTATCTCAACATATCAGATGGCGAACAAAGAGAAGTCTATGGAGCGGCAATGGTTATACAGAGGGCCTATCGGGAGTATCGTGCACGGAACACCAGTCGACGTCAGGCGGATTCCGAACGGAAGGCCGCGGTCACTATCCAGAGTTGTTATAGGAGATACAAACAGGTGAGAAGTAGTTGCTGCTGAGAAGAAATGAATGACATGAATCATTTTCCTTCGTAGTATCTCCCTATCTATTCAATTTATAGCGCTGATACTAAAGCGAGACATCGTTGCTAGAATAGGTAAGATTCTTGAGTCGGGATTTAAATTTATAATTGGCTTAACACTCGGCCACTTTCCTTCCCACCACCGTTGTTTGTTGGACAAAATACGCTAATTTCTGTTTGTCACATCATTATAATATTATATTGCCGTGCTTTTTTTGTAAACAATGATTTTGATGACACCCACAGTTATAAGAATACCACGTAGTTGCGATTAATATAATTATTAATGACTGCTCCCTTTTCGTATTCGCCACGCAGGATTCAGTGTATTAGTTACTGAGCCGAACGCCTTGAGACACTGGGTTGTAGCCGTTTATGATAGTAATAACGACAATAACAGTATAGTGTTAACGATACAAGACAAAGACTGGGAATTGGAGCAGCACTAATTGGGCAAACTGAACGAACGAACGGAATGCTGAAAGCTAGCGGAGCGGTTTATATTGCTAGGATAGGCGGAGCTTAACGATGTTTGAAGATACAGTATGCAGATGATTTGATGTTCTTCTTCAATAAGCAGGCACGAGGTTTCTGCTTATTGAAGAAGAACGTCGAATTATCAATCAATGCCGAGGTTAAAAGAAAGTCGGTCATGGGAGTATGCAGATGGTTTGAGGAGCAGGTGGCAGAATTTTTTTCTAGGGCAGTGCTGTCTGATGAGGCCAATCCGATGGACGGTACGTTAGCCGCGAGTGCCTTAATCAGAAGAAGCGGCAGATGGAAACCTCTAAGAAAGTTTTTGCAAAGGGTTTTGTTATTTGGCGATGACTAGGCAGCGCAAGTCAAATACATGTTCGACGAAGAATAGTCAGCAGTGTAAAGATAGAGAATATTCGATAACTATCGACAATGTTCTCCATAATGAAAGTAGCATCGACATCTGCTATTCTCCCAGTGATTATTTGTGTGAGGTTTCATACACGAATAGTTAGACGCTACGAGTATCAAATGAGATGTACTGATAGTCCAGTAGTAGAAAGTAAGACATGCAACGAAGAAATCCTAATATATTATGGTTTGCTTTGAAGAAATTTCGACGCATAACGGACCGTACGAGTTGGTTCAAATACATAATGACTCCATAGTGAGCTTTAATTATTCAAATAAGAACTGTTAGAAGATCTAGTCTCTAGGTCTAGAGAATTCGGTAACACTAATTGAAATCACCGAGCACACTATGACGCCAGCTAGTTCGCAACCACCTGTATGATCGTCTATGTGCAATACAAAAGTGTATAATATGTCTTGACGATAGAGACAGTAATTGTATGAGTTCGGGTACGCTATATCTGACCTGTTGTAAAGCATGCGGGGACGAATACATTAGTGAAACGGGTAAACCACTTTGCGTGCGTATAAAAGAACGTTTACTCGGTGAACTTAAAGTTAAACCAAAAACTCAACAAGACGTGCGTAGGAGACAGACATAGCAGTGAAGATTATGGAGTAAAAGTCTCCATCTTCACAGGAATCTGAAACCTCAGCCATATAACACTTGAAGCGTTTTGGAAAAATACCAAGAATCCGAAAATGAACCACAGGTAGGAATGCTTCGTTATCACGTGTGGTATCACCTAGTAGTTAAGACTGATATTTTAATCTGAGAAGCACGTTACTCTTCCTTGTGAACTCTGTACAGTTGGTCTCCATGTAAAATAGTGGATGACTGAAAGAAGCGGCGAGCGTGCGAAGAAGTTATTCGATTTTAAATGCGATTGAAATCTTGGTTTAACGTTCCTTATGTTTGGTTATCGAGGTGTTTGGCCGCGTAGATTGCATTCAACTTGACCTTTCCAGACTCTGAAGAAGAAAAAATCCGCCAAAACTTAACCGTAATAAAGAATAAAGTAACATCTCGTGTTTACTCAGTAAGAATATAGAGAACTATTAGAATTGCAGATCCTAACTCGAAATGATACAACATATCTTATTCTACAGAAACAAAATTCTGATTTTCCCAAGCCCACGAGTTGTATTTTATTTGCTTTTCTTCGTCGAGGCTCGTATTTTGGACAGCTAAGCGATGAACAGTTCAGATTTCAGAGAATTGGGTGCCAAGATGTACCGTATCGTTATTGGTTACGGCTGCTATTCTGGCTTCGAAAGTTTGAAAAATGGCAACATATTGTATGAAAAGCTGTGTATAACCCTAAAATTGATAGCCATATGGTTATTGAGTCTTTATCGAAACTTGTAGTGTTAAAATACAGCTTATCTAAATAGTTTAGAAGCATCATACTTTCTCTTCTGCAGTGGTTTTTTTCGACGTATTAGATTTACATCGTAGGGTCAGTCCTGATGGGATCCGTCAACTTTTTTTATTCCAACTATACAAATGTGCAGTGTAGTTTTGTTATAACAGCAAACATGGTCAACCAAAGGCACAAGAAGTGCAATACATGTGTGTCCTTAGTTCTTGTCCTTAGTTGGTTTTAGTTCAACCCTGCCGTAGGTCAACCAAGCTAAACACCATCCTTCTGCGGTCGGCAGAATTGGCTTCGAACTTGTGTCTGGAAAAAGGTCCTCTCTGATCTATATAGAGCGGCATCTGATCATGGTGAAAACCTTTGAACACGCTAGCACGGTAGTCCCAGGAATTCAGGAAGAATCAGTTTAGCAGCATTCAGTGATATTCATGCAAAAGAGAAAGGTCATAACTGCTAGCCGAACCCACACGGAAATCCGACAGTCTACATCTATGAGCAGTCCACGGCAACGGACCGAACGAGTGAAGTTCTGGGATCTGTATAATATATGAAGTGGGGTCATGCAAATAAAGAAATATATGGCCACTTAGCTATGGCCACTTAGCTTTCACAGTGACTAAGCAGTGGTCTATAACTAGTGAACTAGCACCTGTTGGATGCAGACTGATTGGTTTCTTTGGAGCCTGTCTTGCGTGCACTGCCTTCCTTGCGGTCTAAACCGAAGCTTTTCTATCAGTATGGTGGGTGATAAGGCGTCAAAATACTGGTCTTTATTTTAATTCATGCAGTAAATTAATCTATATTTATGAATGACTACGTTTAATACAACTAGGTCAAGTTTATTTTCAGTTTTGCTACTTCAAGAAACTACACAATGCTGCTATCGTCGTTCAGAAGCACTTTCGTTTAAAAAAGGTGAAAAATGAGCTGCCTGCTTGGAAATGCTTTTGTAATGTACTTCTTCATCAAACGCTTTTTATTCCAGATGAATCATACTGGGACCTCTTCATGTCCGTCAACTGAGATACCTGAGCATCCGACTTTGAATGGTCAGAGTATTAGGATACAGGTAAAGATAATAAATAGTTCAGTATTTTGTGTGACATCACATTTTCTATGCAGCATTATTTTTACGCGCATTGTAAATAACTGTTTGAATTTATGGCCCTTAAAACCGTACTAGCCGTCGCTACTAGAGAGCCTGTTATTAAAGAACGCTTTTTCGTTGAACAACGAACTGATATCTATACGGCTTTACTCCATAAATCGTATGGAAACAGAATACATTTGAAGGACTTAGCTACATATTCCAAGGCGGTTGCTTACTTGGATACATGGATACTTGGATGGCCCATATTCAGTGATTGTGTGGGCCCCAGCATAATTCCCACTTTTTTTGGAGTTTTGCTAGTTTAGCCAATGTGGTTTTCTGTACTCCCGAGGTCGGCCTAGCCAAAGTCTGGCCCAGGTCGTCAGCACCACAGGCACTCGCCGCCCTTGACGAGAAGGAGATTTGCCACCATGCGAATAGTTTGATACCGGGACGGTTGTGGGTCCTGGTATTTGTTCACTCTTAGCCGAGCTTCCTGATGGAAACACCGGACTCCTTCTCAGTATAGAAAACTGCTGGGTGGATGAATCTCCTTGCTGTACATCGCAGCCCGACACACAAGAACACCTCCCAGCCACAATGAGGCGGCAAACCGTTAGGAGGTTGATGAAAACAGAAACTTATCGTCCTCTAAACGTGTTGCTAACTGTCAATAAAGTTAAAGAATGTTAACGTTTGTGGAAGAACATGTTGATTGTTTTTGCAAAAGGAGCTCTTAGAGTAGTTTTCTGGCCTTATTCTATAAAATTTACAGATTCCCCAGAACAATTCTTCATTGTTGCGGGAACATCGAGCTGCGACAACAATTCAGTTAGCATATCGTGGTCACAGAAAACGTCAAGCTGCCGCTAGAAAAATCCAAAAATTCATGAAAGAGAACCGTATGAAGTAGGTTTTTTCTTTCATTTATACTTTTTTGTCCCTTGGGTTTTGCAGAGATGAATGGGAAGCGGTATTTAACTGAATCTATCGATGTCATTTCCCAGAAAGGGATGTTAAAAATTTTTTATCTGATTATCGCTTTTCATTCCGTTGTTCACCTTCTCCCTCCAACATTCATTCCTGTTGGAAACAACTCATTCCTTGTTTATATTCTATGAATTGATTGATTTATTGATTGTTCGGCACTGTTTTTAAATGATAAATCTATCTATAGCACAGCTGAAAATGAGTCGACGTTCTCGGTAAGTTTGAGCAATGTTGTGAATGTGTTTCTACAATGATCATTGTGTTGTTCGTATGAAACTGACGGTGTTTTATCTGCAAAGTATGAAAAGCTGAAAATAGTTCTATTTTTTGAGAAACCCTTAAACATATCTAATGTCACAATAAACTCTATTATTTATAAGGCTGCTGATGGTACTAATTGATAGAACTAGCTGAGAGAGAGACGAAACAAAGGACCCGCACGGTGTGGTGGTGAACGCGTCGGCCCACTCAAAGAGGGAAAGTGCGTGCGTTCTCCACCACAGACACTTACGGTTCATATTTCTGCTGATATCTCAGCACCACTGTGGTTCTATTAATTGGAACAAAAATCATTGGAATGAGCAAATTCGTACTAGCAACATAAGTTTGCTGTTGAGATGGAGGTTATCTTATTTTCCGAAGCACAGTGACCATTTTCTTCTTCGTTTTTCTTTTTGTGGAGACTCGTGTTTCAAACAGAAAAGCGAATGATCAAGCAGAATTTCGTTAAGCAGGGCTCGACTATGTCCTGGTTTTTCGATGTTCGTTCAACGTCCTCTGCAACAACGGCAACAGTCTACGGTTAAACTTTTAAAAACTCAGTCTTTTTGAATCTTCTCGAAACTCTAAGTTGAACCAGTTTTTATATGTGAACTGGAGGAGAGAATATTTTCTGTAAGCCTGTAAAATCCTCAACTCCGCAGTGGTTGCAGTAACGGGAAGGTTGTCTGCTAAAAAATGTTCCCAGTATTTTTTTTACCACAAGAAGGAAAGAATCGCATTTGTATTGTCGCTCACCTCGGTTCGTCATTGTTATGTTTGGTTTCGGTGTTTAAGCATTCACTTTGTAACAAGTCCTGTCACTTTGCCATTTATGCCAAGGAAGTGCACTTTTATCTCAGATAGCGTCACTTGTTCAATGAATCATTAAAAATGCGCAATAATGGGTAGCGAAGAGGTTGTGCGGTTGTGCAACGAACTCATCCGCGATTGTTCAAATGCTTATGCTCGTAGAAATAAACCACAGATGGAAATAAAGATGGAAATTTTAGCATCGATCAATCCTTGAAGGATGTGGTACGCATTCGACTTCATCAAGCATTGTTAGAGGGATTGAATGCATATCTAGGCTGTGCAATGATTTGCGGCAGCACCCATGTATTAAGTCTCTGCTGCTATTCTGTCAGAGAAGTCTAGCACCAATTTGCCAACCTTGGAAGGATGTAAGAGTTGGTGAGCTCTAGGCCGTGATCGAAGCAACGACTAGGTGTATGCACATCTGACGATTGCGCTTCACGTGCTCTCTTTGGCTACATACTTCAACAGTTTACATTCACCTAGTGATCGTTCCGTAATGTAGTCGTAGGTAACGAGTCAAGATTGTCGTTTTACATAGGATTTCAAGTAAATTTCAGTTTTAGTTTCATAGAAAGGCAAATGGTAGGTGTATCTGATGTATTTGATGCACAGAATAAAGAAGGCTACTGACAATTTATGATAACCGACAGTATGTTTTTGCACAGTGTGGTATTGTGATTGTGGTTAGTGTGCGTGCAAAATTTGTTATAGTTGTTGTCGGAGTTTATACTTGATGCTTAGTACTTGAACGGCTTGTCCTCACTGGTTGTTTGGGCCCCTACATAATCTCCATTTTTCGGAGATTTGCTGGTTAAGCCATTGTGGTTCCCTCAAATCCTGAGGTTAGCCTGGCCAAAGTCTGCTCCAGGTCTTCACCATTGCAGGCAGTTGCAGCCTTTGTAGATCGGAGGGAGATTTGCCACCATGCGACTTTGATACGCCAGAGCCCTTCTTAGTTTGCAAGACCCTGTCAAGGGAATGAATCACCCCGTTGTACATCGCAGCCCGACACCCAGAAACACCACGCCACGATGAGGCTGTAAACCGTTTGGAGGTTTCGGAGTTTGGTAGACATTTATTTTGAAAAGAAGTTTATTGCTTCGCCTACAAACATGAAGAATTTTGGTTGAAGTGTCGCAGTACTTCTAAACGTCAAGCTTAGCACCAAATGTTAACAATTTTATTCTAACCGCTTAAGGCGAATCAAAATGGTATTCATCTGTTTCTCTTCCAGCCTTTTAAGTTTCCTTGATGATCGCGTCCATAGAGTAAGCTTCTCTGCAACATAAATGTATCGAAATGCTGAAATTATTTTTTGAAGTTAGATGAAAAAGGAGAGTTACAAAGGCTCTTTGTGAAACATCGGGTATTCTTTGTTTTTACTCTGACAGTTATTCTAGAGGATCTCAGCCCATTCAATTGGACCGCTATCTTGTTAGATTATAGACATTTGTTTTTTCTCCAGAGCGAGTGTAGTGCAAGTGTTAGAGGTGCCCTATTACGCGCACTGTTGTTGATCGAGAAGCCGAACCCTTAAGGTTTTTACTTCCTTTCCACTCGCAATAATAAGTGGATATCCAGTTGTACCCGATCGAACCTCCCAACTGTTTACCTGCTCATCGTGTCTGGGACGTGTTCCTGGGTGTCGGGTTGCGGTGTACAGCGGAAGGATTCGTCCCACCTGCAGGGTCTCCCAAGATGAGAAGGAGTCTGGCGTTTCCATCAGGAGCCTAGCTAAGAGTGAACCAATACCACGATCCACCACCGTTTTGGTATCAACTTAGTTGCATTATGACAAATCTCCCTCTGATTCACAAGGGCTGCAACTGCTTGGGGTGGTGACGACCTGGGGCAGACTTTGGCCTGGCTGACCTCGGGTCGCCAGGAAACCACAATGGGTAGAGCAGCAAAACTCCGAGCAGTGGAAACTGTGCTGGGGTTCGCATAACCAGTCATGGCGGGCCATCAAAGTAGCCAAATAAACAGGTAGTTATCGTCACAAATAACAAAGAGATCTGTTTGAAGTTGGTCTGTAAAAATGCATAGAAAGACAAAGGAGGATTTTAAAAAGTTGAAATTTTAAAAATACTTCTAAACTAGGCCGTGACACAGAATTATTTGTAAAGTCAATAGTGTCGCTTTTGGGTGGCCAATTTGGATCATTGATTTAAATCCTACCCAGTCCATGTGGCCATATAAATAAAGTAGAGGTGGTCTCACTGTGCAACTTCCGAAAATTGCGGGTCTTTGCGAATGTCTTGCTAGTTTGGTCTTTTTTCCGCGGCTTATGAGCTTCTAACGGATCATTGATTTCATCGCAAGCGATTTAAAAATAAAGTCGTTGTATACTAAATGAATGCCTTGTGTTCACGGAAGGTCTTCTTTGATGAAGATGTTAATAATATTGCGCTTATTTATGGATCGCTGTTATCATGTGTCCATATAGTATCGTTTATTCTTCATCATTTGTCCTTAGTTTAGTACATTACTTTTTTGTTTACAATTTCATTCAGAAGATAATTTCAGACTGCGCAAGATCCAAGGGTTAAGCGACGCCGATTCGCCTGCAACACTGGCGATGACACCGTCAAGCCCGTAGAGTGTTGCGTCGGCAAGCAACTTAGGCAAACAACAACATGGGATTTCTTCCCTGGACGCAACGACGATGGATATCTATGAGCAGGTGTTTTCTAACAACAATGCTCTGTAGCGAATACTGCCATACTTTGATGTATAATATCCTATTGTATGTGAAGGTATTCCGAAGAAGGGCATCCTGTTGTGGGTACTCGACTCAGAATGCCACTGCGTCTACTTCTTATTTTCAGGATTTTTAGCAATCCGGTTATTATTGAGACATTTCGGCTAATATTCTAGAAACTTCCGATTCATTTAAACATTTTTGTTCAATGTCACCAAAGTATGCTTTCATATAGAGACCTATGCTCTAAAGTCTTGAAGTCAAGTGCATAGCATCGACATAATGTGTTTTGTCCTTTATCCTAGTCTTTATAATTTCGGTTATTGATGGAGAAGTGACATAGCAGGACTTATGGGTTCGTCTTCTCTACTTCTCTATTGCAAAAACTTTTCATTAATTGATGAATGGGACTTCAGCGCTGGAGATACTGGTGTTCTATATTGCTGTTTCTCACTATTACAAAGGAATAGGTATTAAACAACAGTTGATTTCATTGTGTGGACATTTGATGCTATGCACTTTGCAATTTTTGTCTGCTTATGTTCATATCATTACTGCTTTGTTTTCCTCCAAACTGGAAATCAGCTTTATCCTTTTCTTCACATTACGAGGTCGTTACCAACTCCAGTGATTGATATTGTACAAAAGAGTTGATTTTTTGCAATGTTGTTGAATAACGTAGCTTAGAGGTATATTCAATCAGTAATCAATAATCATGTTCAATTTTATATTTGGAGGTTATCTATGAGGTTTACAAAACCTTGGTCTGAAAATATCTGATTAATATGTCATGGTAAACATGTCATAAATGTGTACAAATAATGTCTATAGCTTCGGTACAATGTTGTTCTTAAGGTTAATTTTTTTCTTTTGTTCTCACTTGTCAAAAACACGATGGAGGAAGTTTCCATAGCTACTAAGCAGTGTGCAGTGACTTTATCTCTGTGATCAGTACAACGGGAAATTGTCACCGCCAGCAGAAGCTTTGCTGAGCCCCTATGGTTATCCGATGCAGTTTTCTTGATCTGCAACGCATTTTTCCAGATTCGTCATTGTTGTCTTTGATTTTCCAGAAAACGATGTGTTTAATAACTTAGGCAATGCAAACGTGAAGGAGATATAAGGCTTTTCACAATGGCCACAGA